AAGCTCTTGTGATCACGGTCACCTCACCTAGGAGCGGCGTTTCTATTTGATCTCTGATAACGGAAGAGATTCCAACCTGCTCTCCATCGGTGTCATCCATGTCCTCGTCATCCGTGTCTGCTCTGGGCTGCTTGGCCCCCATGTCGGTTATTGAACGCATCCTGGACGGCTATATCGCGTTCTGAATGCGCTAAGTGGTTATTGTTTCCTGATTTCTCCCAGAGTCTTGCCAGGTGACAAGCCACGAACGAGAGTAATTTATTAAACAACGCAACGAAATAACAGGTAAAACGAGAAAAAGGGGCAGGGCTAGAATTCCAAGGGAACTCTAGGAAGTCGAGGGGGTGCAGCTGGAGTCGAAGAGACGAAGTAGAAGACGAATGTAGAAGACGAATTAGTACTGGGGGTCGGCCTTTTATACGGTACGTCCCGCCCGATCAAGACCACCCCGCGTGAAAAGTGATCTTCCAGCAAGGCGGTGCCGTACCGTGTGACCTGCCGTCCTGCCGTATTCTCACATGCCTCCCCCCGCTGCATAGGCTGCTCCACTCAGCCTCTGGGATTATATCTCGTCGATGAACGATTCCTTTGCCCGTCGAAATTTCTGTTGTGGTAGCGTTGACAATTACATTTAAAGCTCTGTCCGTGAGTTACGGGAGGGTGGCTGACGCAGCGATGATTTGCTGGTTTGAAGCGATTTTCCCTTCTATAGCTCCACTGTGAAGGCTTTACTTTTTTCGCATGTGACTCCTCACATGCATTGCGTTTCCATGTAGGGCGGTCACTCTTGGTTCGACTTTCCGCCTTTGTCCGTATGCTATAATACGGAGTCAACCTCAAGTGAGCAATATAAAATTTGCGAGTGGCCTCGTAGAACGCTTTCACTTCGCTCGCCGAGTATGTATGTGGGTGTGATCCAGAATTGTTCACCACGATATTACAGGGGTGATGAGGAGAATTCTCTTCGGCTTTTGTCATAAGTAGACATTTGATTCGTGCACCCAGTTTAGGACGTTGTGCATCGTTTCCTCACATATGTCCCTCAATTCGTCCGTCGCTTTTGGCCATTGAGCTTTGTCTCGGGGGGTTCCCAGAACGAAGAGCTCTACTCCGTCTGAGACCATACCCAGCATAAGCTGCCACGCCTGAGCCCATGCTGCACTGGCGAACGCTTTGGAGGACTGAACAATACTACAGCGGAGAATTCGTCCTGACACCATGTTTCTTTCACATCATCCGGTTTAGCATATACTCTTACGAGCTGACAGTGCGACTGAATTGAGTATATGTGTTCCTTGAAATCGCACGGTAACAGTACCAGCGTCTTCTTAGGAGGTAGCTCTTTCCACAGCGTTTCAGTCCATGGGTGTGCACGAGCCCAATTACACGCATAGTCGAAAAGGCTCGGCAAATCATATGGATCGCCAGGAGTGCGACTTGGATGTGTCACGCAGAACTGATGTTCTGTGGAGTATCTCGTCTGCATGCTCTGCATCACGTGCAGACATTTCGCCGAGAAGAATGAAATGGCGAATCCGAGTCCACTTGGCGATAATGCGTCGTACTCTGCGTCCAATATACGGGCCATTTGCATCTCCGAAGTTGTGTGTGTCTGCGACATGATTGTGGCCACGCGAGCGAGCTTGAACACACAGTCGAATATGAGACCGTCGATTGGGGAATTCCGCATTCCTGATATCTCATGCCACGTCATATTCGTGGAACAAGGAAGCCGTTGTCCATCGATTGAAAGTCCTCCTGGACAAATGAAATCAACGTGGAGCGGGTTCATTTTAGTGATCGCAGCCTCTCTGAAAATAAAATGATTGCGAATCATGTTGCACTGATTTGACGTCAACTTGCTTCTTCGACCACGTCGGCCGCGGAATCCTTTCGTTCCAAGGGGAGTATCGTCAATCATGGGTGGTAATTTTATCAAATGATCCCACTGTACTCTTATTGGTTCCTTGTTTTGGCCTATCAAAGTCACTAGAGCTGAGTTTGCGCTACTCTCTATTACTCTATACGGACCCGACCAATCAGTGGTTAATTTTGGGTGGGATACCTTTCCCTTCTCAAATGGGATCTTCACGTAGACACGATCACCTTCTTTGATAACTACTGCCTTATGAGTTCTGAACCGTTTGTCGTACTGCTCCTTCATCTTTTTCCGATACTCCTCTGAGTTAGAAATAATGCATTCACGCGCAAGCTTCAACCCTGATAAGAACTCAGTTTTGTAGTGGTCGTAGTCCACCGTGCAGGCTGATAGGTGCTCTCTAGGTATGACTTGTGATGGGTACTTGGGGTCCTGTCCATAGAGAAGAAAATGGGGACTTTCCCCAGTTGCTTCATGCGGGCATGCGTTGTACGCATAAACGACAGTAGGGAGGATAACATCCCACTTCTGCTGGCACTACCGTCTTCTTCTTCAACATGTGAATAATAGTTCCGTTCACCCTTTCAGTTATTCCATTTTCTCTGGGGCAATAACCTTTGGTAAACTGTTGCTTAATGCCCATTATTTCACATAATGCGGTCACGACAGAATTCTCGAATTCAGTCCCACGATCTGAAAGCACTGTTTCTGGCCACCTTCCTGCGCCGCAAATCCACTGACTGAAAAGAACTTCTGCCACTGTTTCTGCTCTTTTGTTTGGCACTGGGTAGGCTCCGAGAATTTTGTGAAGTGGTCTATGATCGTGACTATGTATCTGTTCCCGCGACTCGATAAGCCCATCTCGAGCAAGTCAATACCAACTATTTCGAACGGCCTGGAAACTACAACTGGCTTTAGCGGAGGAGTATTGACCTTATGCGTGTTATGCACGAAACACTTTTGGCATTCTCGAGACCATTTTGCAATGTCCCGTCTCATCCCTGGCCAATACGCTACTTTTTCAAGCTTAGATGACATTTTCCTAGCATTGAAATGCCCACCCATAATTCCATGATGTGCTTCTTTGAACAGTTCGTATCTTTTGCTTTGGGGTATGACGTTGACCCTGGAGCCATCCTCTCGAATAAGGCGTAATCTTCCATCGCTTACTTCGAAATCAGCCGTAGTGAACTTTTTACCATTATGCATGAATGAGGACGTCACCTTCTTTGCGCGCTTCTATTGATTCAATTATCGACTTGAAATCTTCGTCATTTCTTAGTTCCTGAAGCCAGTCGGAATCTCTAACGAGTGCCACTACCTTTTCGTCAGCACACTTAGCCATTCCCACATCTTGTTCTGATACCGTCCCTCTCGAAAGAGCGTCTGCCACATTATTTGCAGCGCCTTTTACATACTCAATTTGCAGATCGTATCCTTGGAGCTCTAGGGCCCACCTCAATACCCTTGGAGAGACGTTAGCACGCTTGAATAGGGAAGTCAAGGCGCTATGATCTGTTCTTACGATAGTATGCACTCCGTAAATAAAATAGTGAAACTTTTTTACTGCAAACATCACGCCAAGCGCTTCCTGATCTGTGATGTGGTAGTTCTTTTCAGGCTCGGGATAAGCCTCTGGATGCAAATGCAAGGGATGGAATTAATTTGTCGTCTCCCTCCTGAGCCAAAACCGCGCCAAGTCCGCTACGACTAGCATCCGTGTATATGTAGAAAGGACGCGTGCCCATGCGTGCAGCCTCTATGTCAGGTTGCCCAACACCGGTGTTCTCGTCAGGAGATCCTTCAGGGTAGCGAACGCTTGCTTATGTGCTTCTGTCCACAGAAATGAGGTTTTCGAACTCGTGAGGTCGTACAGAGGCTGTGCTATTTGCGCATATCGGAAGATAAATTTGCGGTAATAGCCTGTCATTCCTAGAAAAGTCCTCAATTGTGCTAGATTTGTAGGCTGCGGATAGTCTCGGATTTTCTCTACCTTGCCGGGATCGGTTCGAAGGCCATCCTTATCCACTACATGCCCCAGGAATTCTACGGAACTTTCCAAGATACGGCATTTTTGTGGCTTGAGTTTCAAATGCGCCTTGCGTAGTGCTTGGAAAACCTGTTTAAAACCTCGACATGACGCTCCATTGTCTCTGTTGCTACAAGCATATCGTCAATGTATACGGAGACTTCTGCTCCCATAAGCGGTCCTAAGACCTTCTCCATTAATCTCTTGGAATACCGCTGGCGCCGTGGAAAGCCCAAATGGGAGTACTCTGAACTGAAAAAGTCCTGCCGTAGTGGTAAATGCGCTGATTTCTTTGGCCTCCTCAGTTAGGGGTATTTGCCAGTACCCACTAGCTAAATCCAGGGAGGTAAAGTACCGCTTTCCACGAAGATTCTGAAGGGTCATATCTATTGGCGGTAAGGGATAACTATCTTTCTTGATCACTTTGTTGACTTCCCTGTAGTCAACGCACAACCGAATTGATCCATCCTTTTTAGCCACCAGGACTATTGGTGAGGCCCACGGGGAGGAGCTATCCTCAATGATGCCCCGTTTCTTGAGGTCGACCAACATGTCACACACCTGGCTACGAAGAGCATAGGGCACAGGTCGGGTGCGTTGCTTGATGGGCAAACTATCTCCCACATCAATGCTGTGATGTAACAAATTGGTCTGTGTGAGCTCTAAATCTGAGATTGCGAACACATCCTCATATTCAGATACAAGCGTCACCATTTCTTCAGGTAGCTGACCTGCCTTCCGGTTGTTATTGAGTAAGATTATCAGGTCTTCGACTCTATTTCTCCCTATTTCTGGAAGTTTGTGGGACAGTTCCAGCATGTCTCCAGGCAGTTCCCGTGTCCTAGGATCGTACCATGCTTCTTTGTCCCATTTCCCTAGGGTTTCACCCTTGCGAATGACCCAAGGCTCGTGAGTATTGTTCCTAACTGATACCAGAGCCTCGCCGCATGTCGCTTTCAGTACACCGGAAGAAATGCGATCATTATTGGACCAAAATATGCACTCGTCCACTCCTGCGCCTGAGACCGGTACTGTAGAAATCCCTCCCGCGGGGATGACATGCCTATGAATTGCTCGCACTGGGCCACCGCATTCACCGTTCTCGTCCTGGGTTCTTGTTTCTACTATGGGCTCACCCAATTGTATATGGATATTCAGTGCTTGGAGTGCATTTGTCCCTAGCAGTACTATTTTATCCTTGCTTCTTTGGATATGTAACTGCACACGGGCTTGCCCTGCTCCCTGCACATTCACTTCTGTAGCTATGAGCATCAAAAAGCTCATGGCATTCCCTGAGGCGTCCACTACTCTCTGAGAGTTACCATCCCCCATGATGGTTACCAGGCTGTCCAGATCGATCTTTTTCTCCTTCGCCTCCAACAGTAGGCCAAGGGGGACGATTGATACCACTGATCCCGTATCAATCATAGCATCAATCACCATGCCTAGCATGTGTACTCTTGCAGAAAAGGGGTTTCCCATATGCTGCAGTCACTATCGCTTTCCTATCCTGGCTAGTCACTGCGCTACACCACTTTTCTAAATGAGCGGAAAACGATCCCGACAATTTTCCTTCGTTTGGTTTCCGCTTTTGCCTATCGTCCGTATGCGGGGGTTGCTCCTGGAACATTAGACCTCGGACAATTCCTTGCGTAATGCCCCATGCCGCCGCATTTGAAAGCACTTTGTTTTCTTAGTTGGACCATTTTTCCTACTTGTTTTATCTCCTGTTCCAGTTTCCTCACTGTCATATTTATCATGAGCTTTATACCTGGTGCGGTCGATCCGGTCCCACCATTGAGCCCCTTGTGACTGGGATCTTTTTCTCATCGCGTCGCGTGTACGCTCGAGCCTTAATGCCGCCTTACGCACTGACTGGTATACCAAACCATAGGGTGCTTCCAGGGCAGCTAACAGGTGGTAGGACTCTTCCCACTCGGATAGGCAAGCCTGTAGTTTGGAGCCCAAAAGAAAATCTCGGTCACTGTCACTGTGGATCTCCCTTGAAATCCTTTCCATTTTATAGCAAAATTCCTCTACCGTTTCATTGTCCCTTTTACGGAGCTTATCCCACTCCTCTACCTTCTTAAGCTTCTTGCATGGGTCCCGTCCTGGACTTTTCTAGCGCCTCCACTACATCCTCGAACGATCCTTCCTGTACCCCTTTGGGTAAATTGCTATACATTAGCTTTGCCGGACCATCCAGTAGTGTTACCAATATGTCGCGCCGCTCCCGATTACTCCAGGATTCCGTGGGTATTTGATGTCAAAGGTCCTTAGAAAGTCACTCAGAGAATTTTTCCCTGTATATTTCTCGACATTCACAGCCGCCTGGGCTTTCAACATTACTTTGACAACCTCCCACATCTCGGACGAAGGATTCAGATTGGCCGACGGGTCTTTTCTCCTACTAAAGAGAACTGCGACTCACTCATCATCTCGCATTGTGAAGATCCTGTCGCACCATCGTCTGATTCTCCTTGAGAGACCCGCCTCCGGTGCTTCAGTA